CACGCCGAAGTGATTTCAACGGGTATGAAGCAGCCTCAAGACCTTGATGGTCTAAGCTGTGTTGGAGCTAACCCATGCTGCAAGTAGGCACTGTGGATTGCCGTCACACCTTTACGATGCGCCTGTGAAAGCTGCAGCAATCGACTAACGGGAGTAGGTCCTAGGCGAGCTTCATAGACAGGAAAGGAATAACAGGAATCGAATGGCCTGCATGGTCACTGTTGCTGACGAAGAGTGATCTGGGGAATGATTCGCCACTGATCTTACTACGAGTCCATGCTTGCTATCACGAGGCCGCATCGAGCGAATCACATTGTTGTTGTTGTTGCTGCTGAGATCGGATTCCAAATTGATATGTCAAGATGTGAGAAGGATTTCGGAACTTTTCTGGACGCCGGATAAAACCTGATCACGCACGAGGGCAGCGTTTGCGAGAATGGGCTCACCAAGCCTGCACTCCGTCGCGATGCTGCAAGCCGAACTCACATGGTTGGGCCAGCTTCCCGGAACTTGCAAATTCAGGGATCTAGGGACTTGCAGCGTTTAGCGGATGAGCTGAGTGATGTTGCATGTTCAGTCCTTTCGCGGCTTGAGAGCAGGCCCAACATGCCGTGCCCGTCGTGGCTGGGCAGTCTGCCGTGCAGACAGCATTTCTTTTTACCGACAATCCTGCGAACCGGAGCCCGGCTGGTGGTCGGCACCTTTGCCTTCGGGATGCGGTAGGTCGCGGCGAAGAGCCCCCGCCCTGGCGGGTGGACCAGAGTTTGTGCAGGGTTCACCGGATCGGTCGAGCGTGGCAATGCTTGGTGGAAGGTTGTTCTTCTTGGGTTCACGGGTGTTTGTTTTCGGGTTCAGCACCTGGGTGAGAGCGGTCAGGCTTTGAGGGCTTGGACGTGGTGTTAGATCAGTCTTTGGGCTCTGGTGATTTGTCGCCAAATGCAATCGCGAACTGGGAAATTCTTGCGCAGACATCCCTGTCAGCTTCTCGACGTTCGGGTCCTGTGCGTCTGTCGAACATTCGTCGCGATCTAGGGTATCTAGCACACATTCTCCTACAGTCGACCGTGCTGCTTACAATTAAAGTTCTGAGCAATCATCAGCACGCTGCCGATTCTGAGGAAGTGTACTGGAATTGGCGGTTTCCAAACTCCCAAAATGTCATTTGCAAGTGTGCCTGTACCTCGCCTGGGGCAAAGCAACTTTGCAACTTTGCAAGATTTCCTCGGCCCTCGTCCCCTTGTGTTGTCTTCCCATCAGTTCCCCAAGCTTCCTAACCTCAGCGGATTGCGCTTGTCTGAGATGTGTATGCTTGGAGCAGTAGCCCGAAGCATGAGGATCCCTGAAGCATGAGCTGCCAGCGTTGCCCGTGTTTTCTACACTTCACCGATAACCGGGGAACCAGATGTTCCGTCCTGGCAGCCCAGGCGGTCCTCGCATGCGTAGCTGTGCGGGGGCACCGATTAGCTCAAGGTTGTCGGGCCAAGTCGGAAAGTCCGACCTGCGACATCCTTGTTTGCGTGAAACTGCGGAGTCTTCGAGATCTCCGGGCCGTACACTCTCTTCGACCCACAGCCGTTCGCTGCGCGGTTGCCCTCGCTCTTGGCTGCAACACAGGCAGCGGCTTACTTAGCCACACACGGCGAGGCAATGCCGTCATAGAAGCCATCTCCAATGTGCCGGGCCCGCACTCCCGACATGAGCCTGCCGACTTCCTGCGCGGATGGCTGCGCAGAGCCTCCCATGCCCGCGAAAAAGAGCTTCCATCAACAGGGTCTGTATCGTAGCGTCACAGCGCGGCTGGTGGTCGGCACCTTTGCCTTCACGACGCGGTAGGTCGTGGCGAAGAGCCCCCTCCCTAGCGGGTGGACCAGAGTTTGTGCAGGGTTCACCGGATTGCGCACATCCCTGTCAGCTTCTCGAAGTTCGGATCATTTGCGGGCATCGAACATTTGTCGCGATCCTGCTCGCAAGCAAAGTTCTGAGCAATCATCAGCACGCTGTCGGTTCTGAGGAAGTGTACCGGAATTGGCCCTGTGGAGTCCCAACTCGCCGGTTTCCAAACTCCCAGAATGTCATTTGCAAGCGTGCCTGTACTAAGCCTGGGGCAACACAACTTTGCAACATGCATTCGAAAGTTGAGATGAAGGTGATGTGTGGGCTTCGTTTGGGTTTTGATTGTGTTAGTTATGTTCGCCTGTCAAGAAGCCCCCGGCTCGGCGGCAACTGTCCAACAGCTGTCGAAGGGGTGGAGAAAGCAACCCGGCTCTCTGTTGGCCTGTTCGGATTGCCTGCATGGTCATTGTTGCTGACGCAGAATGGAGTGGGCAAAGCGTAGTACTGGCCACGCGCTCGAAGTGATGCTCTAGCGGAAGAAGATTCGCTGTCCTGCATGTCGTGTGTTTCTGGTGGGCGACAGGACCCTGAACTTCCAGGCGTTCGGTCCTTGTCGGATCACAACAACCTCCAGGGCTCTGCAGGGAGGCCGCTCCTTAAAAACGTGCCACCAGCCGTTTTTTAAGGTGCCAAAGAGGATTGCCCCTGGCCACTTCAACCTAAAGGCTTTATCGCCTCGGCGTCGAGTTGCAGTCACACTCGTGGTGGATGCCAGCCTGACATTCGGCGTGCCTCCTCTGCTCTCGCTCTGCAAGCCTAGGGCGTGTAGATGCGCATCGAGGCACAGCCTGAGACTCTATGCACATTGACACAGGCATACACCAAGGAGCCCAGATGGTCATCTCAGGTTCATGCTCATTCAGTTCATTCAGGTCTTATGCTATTTCCGTTCTCCATAAATTTCGCCAGAATGCTTTGGACACAGGAGCGAGCGAAGTCCATGGGAAAAGAAGCACGTCGCAAGTTGTTGGTAGTTCGAAGGTCCACAAACAGTGTGGTATAACACTCTGGTGATTGAAAAGTGATTAGTGCAGCGGGGGCGTGCGGTTACGCTCCCGGCCCTTCTGCCTGGGACGCCGCCCCTGCATAGCCTGCAAGGACGTTTGTAGTTGCGCTTGTCCTGGTCTTCTGGGGTCTTGGAAGGACTTCCCCAAACTGCCCGACTGCCCAAGTGTTCCCCCATTTGAGGCTTTTGGAAGCCACGCTTGGTTCAAGACAAAGCGCAGGTAGGCAGATTTGCTGGCATTTGCGTCAGCGCCACGCTCTCAGATGGGTTTTTGGCTTAACGTATAAGCCTTTTGTCATGCGCGTGCCGGATGTAGTGCATACTAGTCTTAGTTGAAGTAAAGCCTGTTACTACACACTCTTGAATGCATGTGCTTGTGGTGATTGTCTTGTCACATCCTGGCCCTGTATTCTAGTGTCTTTGCACGCTGGCGGGGTGCGTGCGGCCTGGCAACCGAACCTTCGCAAAGATTAAAACAATTGGTGAAAGAACCACAAAAAACGCACGGGTCCACCTACCAGCACACGTGCCCGGCGTACATGCCCTTTCCATCAGCGTTTATCGACACATCGGCCTTTACGATGATTCCTATAAGTAACCTAACCTCCAAGATACCCGGTCCATGTTGTGCTTTGTGACCGACCTGTACATCCAGACATTATCGGTGTTTATATAGTGTCCAGCAGTCGTGACACATAGCTTCCTGGGGGTTGCAGAAACGAAGACAGCCGAACTGGAACTCCAAACCTCCAGTCAGATACGTCTTCCTCAGCTTGCCTGCCTCAACCCTTAACCTCGATGGCGTGTTCGCACAGTCTAGTCTCTGAGCATGCAAGGCCCATCAGAAATGGAACCTACAAAGGTCATGTCGTGCCGACAAATTAACATAGACAGAGCTTCAAACACTAGCGTATTCTTCGAGTATGCATGCCTCGCAAGTCAAGACCACCCGCTCCTACCCGACGCTGCCGAGGCACCCGTTTTTGCAAATCGTCGGCAAGCCCGCGGTTACCGAGGTTCGCACCTCACGAAGTGATACGTACGTTGATGGCAGGGGCTTAAAACTAGCTGAGCTATTAGTTAGGACGAGTCTGTAGCCTGCAACTCGACGTGACTGAAATTGTAGAGTGTCACAACATTCCGGGTTCAGGGTGAGGGGTTGGTGGTTTAGAGTTTTGGGCTTCGGCGGCAAGGCTTTAGCGATACAGGGCTTCAAAGTCTATCTTAGATGGTCCCTCTGAAACGTCAATTTCACCCATGTCCCCGACTGTGCACGTTGGCGCGTGCGAAAGATCATGTCCGTAGGAATGGCGAGTTGACAACACGCGAATTGGCGCATTGCGGCAATTTACTTGACATTCACTATATCCGACGTCGCACTTATTTATACGATCGACCGCTGTTATTTATGCAATACCATCAAGAGATATCGATCCCTTGTGTTCTAGGTGAGCGCGAGTAGGCTGTTGCATGCATGTTTCACGTAGCGAATGCTAGCGGTATTTGGCAACCTCTGTCGACAAAAGGGGTGATTGCCGTCTCTCTCTCTCTCTTCCATGTGTGCCGCACATATGTTAGCATAGAGAGCTTTCAGGTTTGAGAGAGCCTAAACCCTAAACCCCTCAGGCTCCTTCCCAGCCTGTCCTATAAAGACCCTGAACCAAGACTGGGCTCTCGTTAAGGAACTGGCGCAGCGACAATCCCGAGCTGCAAGAAAACAGCGTTCGGAGATTCTGCAGTTGCACGCCGATAATAGATTGCGCAGTACAGACAGAAGCGCTGGAAGCGTTAGATGAGACATTTTAAAATTTCAACACGATTGTGTGCTTCATAGCAACTTGGTAACATCGAGCTGTACCTGACAAAGCAATTGCTATCATTTTGAGCATGAAGTTCTTGTGATCCTGACGGTAGCTTGAGCATGCTTTCGTCCCATGCATTTCATTTCGCAGCATATTGCTCAGAGCTGTAAGGGAGAAAAAATCCATGTTCCAAAGCATAAGTTGCTTGATTGGTTGCGTGGCTGGCCACACTCCTGACAAGCATGCCAACAACCAGAGAGGCCCTATTGCTGGAAGTGCTTTCCTAGTGCTGGTTCGCCATGGCGATGTGGGGTCATCAAGCTGCATTTCAATGGGACGTGGTAACACCTGCACTTGTCAGCACGGCGCGAGTCTCCGATGTTCAGGTCGAGGAGGTCGGGGAGACCTTGATGGAGAGGACTAGACGATGCAGCAGTTTGGCGCGAGGGGTCGGAGGGTGCAGCAGTTGTGTTCATGCGGAGGATCGCTGGTCCACCGGTGGTGGAGATACCGGCTTGGATGACTTGGTTGGCTTCGGGGACATGAGGGGAGGAGCAGGCAAGGGGCTTCTATGAATTTCAGCATGTGCATACGTGCAAGTTCATGTTTTGAGTTTTGAGATCACGATTGTGATTTTGAGGCGGCCGTGGAGGTGATCTGGCGAGCTTCTCAGACCTGGGCCCTTAGGATTTTCCTGTCCTCGTGGGCACTGAAGCCCAAAGCCCCATCACAGAGCTGCAGACACGAAACGGGTAGATAGTTAGTTTTTGGTAATTTCTGATAGTACATGGTTATAGCCGTCTATTGTAGTACATCATTTTAGTACATTATTGTAGTACACCGTTATCGTACATGCTCGTATACTATAGCAGATTCATAGCATACTGTGCATCTTATGTAGTACATTATAGATTCCATTTCAGTAAGTTCTAGACAACCCTAAACCTTAAATCCTTTCTACACTCTAAACCCTAAGTCCTATATAAACCCTATCCCTAAATCCCATATGGGGTTTCCGAAAATTAGGGGTACCATAATTTGGGGTCCTTATAAGAAGGATCCTACTACATTGGGGTACTATATTAGGGTCCCCTATTTTCGGAAACTCCCAGAAAGATCCGACATCCGAATGCCCTCCTGTGCTGAGGGCTGGGGCGCCAGCGACCTGGCCGTGGGCCCCGGCGGCCGCGGGTTCGGTGCTCCGGCCTTCCACCGGGGCAGCGGCGCTGGCCTGGGCGGCCTGGGTGGCTTCGGAGGCGCCCGGAAGTATTATACATCATGTTGTAACCACGGTATATGTGTAGTACATTAAAGCCTCATTAGAGAGTATACTATAGAATGTCAGGTTATAGTAACATAAACATCAACAAGTACATGATAGTATATAAACATTAGAGTGTGTTAGATTGTACTTAGTTGTATCAAAGTATTCTGTGCTGTTGTTTACTGTACTATCGTAGGGTAAAGTAGATGGTTGTAGGTGATGGTAGATTATGATGTTTCATTGTGTGTTATGGTGTGTTATAGTATGTATGTATATGTATATATATATATATATATAGTATATCTACGTGTACATATGTATATATATATACATATTTGGTCTAGTGTCGCACATTATAGTATATTTCGGTATGTTATAGTATATTGTAGTATGTTACTTGATTTTATATCGTATACTACATATCTGGAACTGAGCCGGGGGCCGCGAAGTGTGATGTGACTCTGTGCTGAGTCCAGGCGTCCACTTTGCGGAAGCTGAAAGTCAGGACAACATGTTGACCGAGACCATGCTGTTACAACAGAATGCGCCTTGTGCTTGTAGTGCAGGACGAGGAATGGTGGGGAGGTTGGGAAGCAGAAGACGAAGGCTTTCCACATCTGTTGCACAGGGTATGGGGGGCTCAACTCGGGGTGACCTCTGAGCCTGCAAGAGCGGTCTGACGTAGTTCCCTGTTCCCAAGGCTTCTTCCTGTTTTGGCACGACACGAGCGTATCTCTTTCAGGCGAGCTTGGCGAATGGAAGTGGGCCATGGTTGTTGTCAAAGAGGCCGATGGGTGCTGCATCGGTTCCTGTCATGCAATGGTTTGTTTCGTTCCGACTGTTGCAGGGGGAACACAAGAAGAAGACCGGGATCGTCACGGTTTCTCTGCCGCATGGGTATCTGTTCTTCATGCCCATCCAGCCCAGAAGCGATTTTCCAGCTGTTTCCTGGTAGGGTCCAGCGCCGAGGCCATCCATGGCCACTGCCCGCGCCACGCCAGGTCAAGTGGAAGAGCAGCAGAACGACGTCGAGAAGCTGAGCTGTCGCGCGTATACTTGCAGTGCTTTTCGCCGGGAGTTTCTGGAGCTATTTTTGATCGACGCGTAAGGTGGGATCTTCCACCGAGGACTTATGTGAGAAATGCTACCAGAAGGCACTCAAGGTCGAAAGGCTGGGAGCTGGCAGTTTGAGGGAATGCGAGCTCTTTTCCCACGTGTGCTTGAGGGGGTCAGCAGCGGTGGGGGAGTGAGCGTGTCTGAGTCTCTTGCAGGTCTGTACAGTGGCTGCGGGCCAATGAAGATGATTACGGATGTCCGGAGCCCGTCAGCCCCTCAGATGGCCGTGGCTGCGACAGGAGCAGCATCCTAAGTTGGAGTGGGAGTTGTGTGTTTTCGCCGACGTCGCCGTCACCGTCGTGGTGGTCCGAAGCCACTATCCGAAACAATCAAGCAACACATACCGATCACGGAACATCAACTTCAGGCTTGGCTCTGTTTTTTCAGTGCGAAGGTCCATCGACCTTGCCCTGCCCATGTCGAAATTGGTCCCGAAAGCTGAGTGGCGACGAAGTGCTTGCAACAGTTTGCCAACAATCACATCCAGCAGCCTGTCTTCCGAACTGCAATCTGTCCTGGCTGTTCTCGTTTCTCTGGGAAGAATGCCTTGAACAGCGTGTGCACAGGTGGGATTCTACACGACTTTCTTGCAGACTCAGCGCTTCATGAGCTTGCTGTTCGAGGACCTTGGGAAAGAACATGATCAAGAGTTTCAGCCCTGGCATTGTTTTCCTGTAGCTCCCATGTAGCTTCCCCTGCCTCCGAGAAGACGAAGTCCTTGTCATTTTCGCAAGAGTGTCGGGGCCGGGACGGCACTCGTGCCGAGCAATGCGCATTCAGGTTGCTGAGCATTAAGAGTGTTATCGAACTTGCGGGACGTCGGTCAAGCAAAAGCATCACTGCAGGATTTGCATGGACGTGCGGATGCATCATTGAGGACTTTGGCTAGGAGGTCTCACGTAGAAGGGCATTGAAGTCAACAAATGTTTTCAGGAGGAAAGCAGGGTTGTCTGTTTCGGGAACTGTGCAGTTCCGTGCAGTGGAACTACACGGCAGCCAGGCTCGACGCAAAGTGCGACTCGTTTGGAGCCGTGACTATTCCTGGCAGTGGACAAGGCATGATGCACAGCAGGAGGTGCGAGATAGTCTTGCGGTATCTGTCGTCAAACGTGCTGCACGCCCTTCGCGCGCTCACAGCACCAGTACTTGCTAGCAGATCCTAGGTCGTACATATCGGACTCTGATCCAATGAAGCAATATGGTTCGCCCTTCAACCTCTTGCCGGCCATACTGGCGACGCTGACAGCGTTGGTGCCAGCCGTCAAGTTCACGCCGGACGCCAACATGTCCTTGCTGGAAATGGGCAGCAACCAGTCCAACAAGACAGATGTGCAGCTGGCTCTGCTTGCCCGCTCTTCGCGTGCCTCCGTGGATGAGGAGGAGCTGGAGATGGATACAAGCTTGTCCGCAAAAGGGAACCCGATAGCTGCCGTCGGCGACTTCTTCGGTGACGTTGTCGATACGGCTGGCGATGCCTTGGGGGGCGTTGTCGATCACGTGGGGAATGCCGTCCAGACCGCAGCGGAGGCCGCTGCCGATACGCTCCATAAGGCAGGCATGACAGTTGGCAGTGCCGTGGCCAACGCGGCCGTGATCGTTGGGAAGCATGTCGTCCAGCCGGCAATAACCACCATAGCCTCCTTGCCCGGTCACATCCAGAACGTTGCCAACGACATCGGCAGAGTAGCGGTGAACGTCGGGAATGTCATCGCGGATGTCGGGGAACTTGTGGCGGACTCAACGGTCCAGTTAGCAGGGGACGTGTTGACGAGAGCCCAGGCCGCTGTGAACCAGGGCGTGAAGCTCGCGCAATCAGTGGGGGATGAAATTGCGAGACAGGCTACGGCCATTGGCAACGGGGTTGCCAAGATTGGTCCTTTGGTTGCCGGCCTTGGCGCGGCAGCATGGAACCAGATCAAGAGTTTCGTCAGCTGCTTGGCAGAGTCACTGACTTTGTGTCACATCCTTATCGGGGACCACTGCGACTGCGGTCCCGGGAAGAGCCACGTTACACCCTCCACGTCGGGCTTGGAGATGAGGTGCGTCTTCACCACGTCCTCGGACTTTACAGGTGGGTTTGGCCTTCGCGCCTCTGCCAGCAAGACTTTCGATGGATCCAGTGGGACGACGGTGCTCCCGGGCGAGGAGTACATGCAGGCATACAAGATGGCCAACACGGCATTGAAGTCCCGAGAGACCTTGAAGAGCAAGAAAGCGAAAGCGCCAAGAGGCTCCTGCGAGACAGAGCTGGAGGTAGCCTGGGAGGGTGCAGCGCAGTTCACGCCGGACATTTCCGTGTCGATGGGATTCAACGGGGACACCGAGATCAGCATCTCAGGGCTAGTTCGTGCCTCCATCGATGCCCTCGTGGAGGGGCAGGGCAGCTGCTCCTTCCACGCCCAGAGAGGCCTCCCAAAGGTCCCTAAGACCAAGGTGGTGTGCGCAGGGAAGTTCTGCCTCGTCTTCATGCTCCAGTTCGTTGCGGAGCTGGAGATCAAGGGTACCCTCACGGGCACCATCGAGACCTCGGCGGCTGTGGACTTCGAGATCAAGGGCAAGGTAGTTGTCAACCCGAAGGGCAAGGCCGAATCGCACTTCGAGACCCCTTCGATCAAGCATCAGGATGGTTTTGCCATCGGCGCGAGTGCATCCACGTCCGTGCGTCTGGGCATGGGTCCCGTTTTCACCGTTTGGCCCGTGCCGGGCATTCCCATCAACTTCAATGCCATGATCAACGCGGAGGCCAAAGCTCTGGGCACATTGGAGTTCCGGTCCGGCATGCTCCTGCTCCAGGAGGACGAGGAGTCCCGAAAGCTGGACGTCAACAAGCAGTTGCATGATGTGAACGACTTCATGAATGCCACCAGCAATACGATCGGACTCTGTGGTGCCGCGGTGCTGACAACCTTCGCTGACATCGACATAACCGGCTTCGCCCTGCCGAGCGGCTTCCGGGCCGTGCTCAACACGGACATGATCGTGGACAAGATCTCGGAGGCAATCATGAAGGGTGCGACGGCGCTGCTCCAGCTGATCACTGGTCCACTGAAGTGCATCCCGGGTGGGGAGACGGTTTCAAACACCATCAACTCCGCGGCCAACACGGCGTCCGCCACGCTCACGTCCCTCATCCCGTCTCTTCACCTGGACTTCAATGTGAAGTCCATCGAGCTCTTGAAACCCCAGAAGCTGTGGTGCAAGGAGGTCTACAAGACGCCAGGTGGGACTGAAAAATAACCCCGTGCTGTTAATTAAATTTAGTCTTGGCATGTCCGTGTTCGGTTTTGATGGTTTTCCGTGGAAAAAACGATAAGAAGAACATGAAACGAGAACAAAACACAGCGAAACGGTAACTCATTTTTCGTGGTAAAACGATAAGAAGAAAATAAAACGACAACAACACTCAGGGATAAGCATCTTTTGACGGGGTTATTATACAACCCCAGGTTTCGATCAGGCTCCCTGCGCGGCCACCTTGGGATGCAAGTTTGCAGGCCGTCCACCCCCGCGGGATGTTGAGATGCCGCCGCCGGAGCAGGTGACGAATACCATGTCCGCCGCTGCCAGTGCTCCGTCATCGTGCCCGACTGTGGAAGGTTCCTTGAAGATGGGAGATCGGTTCATTCAGGTTGGCAGCTTTCGCCTGGGCGCCCATGATGACCATCACTTCTCCGTCCAGCACGAGTCAGGGTGGACCGCGCAGATCTACAAGAGCGATGGCACCACACATTGCGCAAATCATAGGCCTCGCAGGGATTATGGCACTTGGCACAGGGATGTGACACCTTCCGGAACTTCTCGTGGGATTTCCTTTGGCTTCCAGTACATCCAATTTGGCAAGTTTCGACTCGGTGCCATCGACGACACACATTTGTCGCTTTCGCATGAAAACGGCAACACGATAATCATCTTCCGCTCAGACAGGCAACGTTTTGGCGGGCCCAGGAGCGATTGGGGTGCCTGGGATCGTAGTGAAGGTGCGCCATTCGGCGTGTCTTTTGGTGACAGATACATCCAAATCGGAAAATTCCGACTCGGTTGCAATGATTACAACCATTTCGCAGTGACCCACACCTCGGGCCAACTGCTCCAGCTCTACCGAAATGATGGCACGGAGCACCCTGCCGCTGGCAACCAATGGACCGTTTCAGTGAATAGACGTCAGCCGGCGCCGTGGACATGCAAGGACATCGCGGAAGTGGCTTATGGGGCTTGCGATTCCGACTGGGGTGGCTTCGGAGATCGATTCATCCAGCTGGGAAACTTCAGGCTGGCGGCGATAGATGCTACACACTTCTCCGTATGCCACAGAGACGGATGGGTCTCCATGATCTATCGTGCGGACGGAACCCGACACGGGGGCCCGCGCAGGGACTTTTGTTCGTGGGACAGGCCTTTGGGCTTTCCGCACGGCATCACATTCGGTCCGGGTTTCATCCAACTGGGCAATTTCAGGCTCGGCGCCATCGACGACGAGCACCTCAGCATTGCACATGAAAGCGGAAAGACGGCCCAGATCTTCCGGTCGGACGACACTCGCCACCCCGGGCCCCGCACTGACTGGACCGCTTGGGGGCAGAGTGCAGGACCGGCAGCCGGCGTCACCTTCGGGGACCGGTTCCTGCAGCTCGGCAACTTCCGAGTTGGTGACCATGATGGGAGGCACTTGGTCGTCGCTCATAAGGGCGGCGCTGCGATCCAGTTGTTCCACGCTGATGGGAGCAGGCACCCACTGGTTGGTAGCCACTGGTCGACCAATATCCGTGGTCGCTACCCGCAGTGGCACTGTGGCGGAATCCAGGACGTCATGGGAACCTGCCCTGGCCTCGCTGCAGGAGACAACCTGTTGATGATCGGTGACTGGCGCCTGGCCGCCAACGACGCCAACCACTTCACCATCAGCCACCGCGCGGGGCAGACGCCGATAATCTACGTGAGCATAAACAAACACTACCCGGGACCTCAAACGGGTTGGAACAGCTGGGGTCTCGAGATCAAGGACGCCCATCACAAGCTCCAGTTTGGCGACCGCTTCATCCAGTTCGGCAGTTGGCGTTTGGGCGAGTGGGACTCGCAACATTTGACCCTGTCGCACAGCAACGGCAACACTCCGATGATCTGGAGAACCGATGGCACGCGTCATCCGAACCGCCGTAGCCACGGCTTGTGGCATCGGCCCCTCGGTGCCGCAGAGGGCATCACCTTCGGAGACCGCTTCGTCCAGATTGGCGGCTTCCGGGTTGGAGACGTGGATTCGCGACACTTCTCCGTCACGAATGTCAACGGTGTGACCATCCAAATCTTACGCGAGGATGGGCACCTGGGTTCTTGTTGAGGGACTTAACTTGAGCTGGGACCATATAAAGACGTGTAGGTAGAGGCATTTATATATATATATATATACATACACACATACACACACACACATCTAGATGTTTTTGTAAATAGATAGGTGTGTGTGTCTATATATATATATATATGTATATATATATATATATATATGTGTACGCATATGTATACAAAGCTAATAGTATGATCTATCTCGCTGGGGTTCGTTGACAAGAGCCCAGGCATACCTTCAACGGCCCACGCCACGACTTCACCACCTTCGGCCGCCAGCTCTCGGACTGCGCTGTGGTCTGAGCGAGCCACGCAAAAGTCACGATGGTCACTGCGGTGACAACGCTGTCCATTCAATCCCTTGTCAAACGCATCGGGTGCATCCCTAGTCGTTTATTCGACCCAAACCTGGCAGCCGTCACCGTCCAAGAAAAGGGGCGTTGCCTTCAAGCGCATGCGCTCTCAAAATCTTGGTGCTTTTATCTGTCTGAGTCTGCATGTTGTCTGGTTTGAGAGGCGACAAGCTCTGAGAGAGGTTGGACATTCGCGGGCATGGCAGCGAGGCGCCCTGCAGACGTGGATGCAATGCGTGGAGCACGCCTAGATGCTCAATGCTGAAATGCCACTCAGTGTCGTGGTGCCATCGAATGTCGAGAAGTCGAACGCAGCGCATTTTGGAGTTGTATGGTACAGCAGATGCAAGTATGGTTTGTGTTGTTTCGGCAGTTGTCTATCTCCCCTGCCCGGCTTTGGGATAGCCAACATCTCCGCCGGCAACAGCCAGCAAATCATGTGCAAAATCCCTACACGCCGGGCCCTTTTCCAAGTATGCAATCGTCGAGAGCTGAAGCTTGGCGACAAAGACACTGTGCCCAGAAACTGATTGCAAAGACTAGGAGGGTCACATCAAAGCTGCGCGTTTGAGCTGGTGAGCTTGCTTGGGCCCTCTGCAGCTTCCCGGCCCTCGCTTCCCAACTCGCTTTATTTGACACTGTGGTTGCAGATGATGAAGCCTCTTGTGGGCTTTTTCCAAGAGAGAAGATCGCTGTGACAATGGGGTGAAACGCATCCTGAAACAGTTGACCGAGGATTCGATGGAACTTCACGTTCTCAGGTCTCTCTTAGCAAGCTGGGAGAACCAAACCCTAAACCCTAAACCCATACCCTAAACTCGAAACCCTAAACCCCGGCCGCCTCCTCAAGGTTCCAGCCTGTCCTTAACTACCCCGAACCAAGACTGAGCTCTTGTACAAGAACCAGCGAATCCCGAACTGCAAACGAATGCGTTCGGAGATTCTGCAGTTGCACGCCGATAATAGATTGTGCAGTGCAGAAAGAAGTGTTGGAAGTATCAGACGAGACATTTTTACACTTCAACACGGTTGTGTGCTTCATGGCAACAAGGTAACAACGAGCTGTACTTGACAAAGCAATTGCTATCATTTCGAGCATGCTTTCGTCCCATGCATTGCATTTGGCAGCATATTGCTCAGAGCGGTAAGGGAGAAGGAAATCCAAGTTCCAAAGCATACGTTGCTTGACGAGTTGCGTGGCTTACATCACACCCGTGACAAGCACGCCCATAGCCATAGAAGCTCTATTGCTGGAAGTGCTTTCCTAGTGCTGGTTGGCCATGGCGATGTGGGGCCATCAAGCTGCATTTCATGGGGACATGGTAGCACCTGCACTTGTCAGTGCGGCGCGAGTCTACGATGTTCAGGTCGAGGAGGCCGGGGAGACCTTGATGGAGAGGAGCAGACGATGCAGCAGTTGGCGCGTGTGGTCGGAGGGCGCAGCAGTTGTGCGTTCATGCGGAGGATCGCTGGTCCACCGGTGGTGGAGATACCGGCTTGGATGACTTGGTTGGCTTCGGGGACATGAGGGGAGGACCAGGCAAGGGGCTTCTATGAACTTTAGCGTGTGCATATGTGCCAGTTCAGGTTTTTTTTTAGCTTTGAGATCACGATTGTGATTTTGAGGCGGCCGTGGAGGTGATCTGGCCAGCTTCTCAGACCTGGGCCCGTAAGATTTTCCGGTCCTCAGGCCCCATCGCAGAGCTGCAGACTCGAAACGGGTAGTATCGTAGCTTTCCATTAGTACATGGTTGGAGTAGCTTATTTTAAAACATGATTCTAGTACATTATTGGAATACACTGTTATCGTACATGCTCGTATACTATACTAAAATCATCGCGTAATCTGGTATATTATGGCACACCTTACTACATTATAGGTTCCATGTCAGTACGTTCTAGACGACCCTAAACCCTAAACCAAAAATCGTATAGTATAAAGCCTCAACCCTAAATCCTACATAAGCCCGAAACCTTAAAACCTGAAGACTTCCTTTGCTGAGGGCTGGGGCGTCAGCGACCTGGCCGTGGGCCCTGGCGGCCCCGGGTTCGGTGCTCCGGCCTTCCACCGGGGCAGCGGCGCTGGACTCGGCGGCCTCGGCGGCTTCGGAGGCGCCCCCGGAAGCATTTTTTGTATCATGTTATAAGTGCAGTATGTATGTGGTATACTAAAGTTCAGTGTACGGTATACTATAGAAGATCAGGTTAGAGTAAAGTAGACATGATAAAGTACACGATAGTATGTAAAGAACTAAGTTCAAGTTTATGAGGTTATGCTCTACTATCTCAAAGTATTCTGTACAATGTGATACTTCATCAAAGTAGAGCAAAGTATATGACTGTAGGTGATAGTAGATTATGCTTTATTGTGTATGTCAGTCTATTACAGTATGTCATAGTCTATTTTTCGTCTTTTTCGGTATGCTATAGTATACTATAGTATATGACTTGTTATTATACTATATAGTCTGGAACTGAGCCGTAGGCAGTGGAATGCTATGTGACTCTGTGCTGTGTCTAGGCGTCCACTTTGCGGACGCTGAAAGTGAGGACAACATGTTGACCGAGACCATGCTGTTGTGACGGAATTCGCCTTGTGCTTTTGGTGCAGGACGAGGAATGGTGGGGAGGTTGGGAAGCAGAAGACGAAGGCTTTCCACATCTGTTGCACACGGTATGGGCGGCTCAACTCGGGGTGACCTCTGAGCCTGCAAGAGCGGTCTGAGGTAGTTCCCTGTCCCAAAGCTTCTTCCTGTTTTGGCACGACACGAGCGTATCTCTTTCAGGCGAGCTTGGCGAATGGAAGTGGGCCATGGTTGTCGTCAAAGAGGCCGATGGGTGCTGCATCGGTTCCTGTCATGCAATGGTTTGTTTCGTTCCGACTGTTGCAGGGCGAACACAAGAAGAAGACCGGGATCGTCACGGTTTCTCTGCCGCATGGGTATCTGTTCTTCATGCCCATCCAGCCCAGAAGCGATTTTCCAGCTGTTTCCTCGTAGGGTCCAGTGCCGAGGCCATCCATGGCCACTGCCCGCGCCACAAGCACCCCTTGAACAAGATAAAGGAGGACGATGACCCTTTCGAAGACGAGAAGCCAAAGGAGGAGGCGCGCGGAAGTCCCCACAGCGACGGCATGGGTTGCCTTGAGCTCCTGTATCCCCGGTTGCTGCCAGGACAAGAAGCAAAAGAAGAAGAAAGGTCCTGCTTAGAACCGTTCGCCTTTGCCCTGAACTTCCTGACCCCTAAATTCCGTCTACCGCCCTTCGCTCTAGACTCTTTCAGCTTTGAACTGAAGCCTACAGATTGTCTTCGGTGGTCGCCCCGCAGGTCCCCGACTCGAGTGTGAGATGTGCAAGGCCGGTGTTGGGCCGAGTGCTATCCAGTTTTCTTTACTAGAGTCATCTTGGCCATGAAACCGTGTGTCATGTTCTCCATTAGCGTCACCATTATCTTCAGCAACCTCGTCATCATCATCATCATCATCCTCCTCCTCCTGATCATCACCATCATCCCCATCATCACCATCATAAATATCGTAATGCTCTTCACCAGCATTATGTTGAATATCGTCACCGCCGCCGCCGCCACGACCACCACCGCCACTGCCACCGCCGCCACCACCACCACCACCACCACCACCACCACCACCACCACCACCACCACCACCACCACCACCACCGCCACCGCCACCGCCACCGCCACCGCCACCGCCACCGCCACCGCCACCGCCACCGCCACCGCCACCGCCACCGTCACCGCCACCGTCACCGCCACCACCACCACCACCACCACCACCACCACCACCACCACCACCACCACCACCACCACCACCACCACCACCACCACAACTGACCACCACCCATCATCGTCGTCGTCACCGTCGTAGTCGTCATAAGGCATAGCCATCAGCATCGTTTTAACGTCATAGCCATGGCATACACCGTCGTGATCAGGCTCTGCTCACGTGGCTTCTGGATGCATTTGACACTTTTAGATGACGTGGAGGCCGCCAAGAAGAAGGACAAAGATGCCAAGCCTGAAGACGACGGGAAGCCCAAGCCTGTGGCATTCGGCTGCGAGGCACCCGGAGCACGGGGAGGCTCTTAGCTTAGTGAGGCTCCTTGTTGCTGCCGCTGTTGCTCTTGTTGTTGTTGTCGTCGTCGGCGCCGTCGTCGTCGTCGTCGTCGTCGTCGTCCTCGTCGTCGTCGTCGTCGTCGTTATAGTTGCTGCTGTCGTGGTTGTGGTAGTCGTCATCGTCGTTTGTCGTTGTTGTTCACTCCAGAGCCGCGAGTGCGTCAGGACTGCAATTGGTACGTTTGCGCGGACTGTCACGGCAAGAAGGGGGAGAAGCAATGGCAGTGCATGCTCCAGGCAGGCACCTTACGACTGAGCCCGACATCAATTTCGGCCGTATGCATCACTCAGAGCAGGTTCTTTTTAGATTGCTGCCGAACGTGTTGCAGGTGGACATACGGGAGGGAATGGAGGTGCACCGCGATTGGTTTAATGCCGCTGGGAGCAAGAAAGCCAGGGAGAGCACAAATCTCACTTCCACGGCCTGTGTCCCAGGTTGACCACCTCAGGCTGTTTGCCGAAGCCGAAGATGACATGGACCTCGTGCCCCGGCTTTTCTTTTCCGTCCAGGTGTAGGTGGGTTTTGAGCACGTCGACTTGAGTAGACTAGCAGACCCTCTGGCAGTTGCCACATTGAATTCAGAGTAGCCCAAGTCCTAAACTCGCTGACAAGCTTGCGCAGCAAGGAAGATGAGGAGGAGAAGGAGGACGTCAATTTGGCGAAGAAGCCGCGTCAACGCATGACAGCCCCTCCCGTACCCCTCGCTTTCCTAGCGTTTTGATTCTCCAGGCTTTCTTCTCGCTCCCGTGAGCTCAGGTTCTACCCAGACCTGGTCGAGGGCCAGCAAATCAAGGTCGAAATCTTAATCAAAGTCT